ATAAGAGTTGTGTGGTGGGAGTGAATTTGGAGGAAAGGGAAGTAAGTGATTGTGTAGGTGTATCAGGGTGCGCTATCTTGGAGTGGCATATCACTTATTTGGGCTTCCCCCTAGGAGATGACCCCAAGAAGGAAAGCTTTTGGAACCCAGTAGTAGAGAGATTTGAGAAAATGCTTGCTTCTTGGAAGAAAAATTATCTTTCTCTTGGGAGGAGAATCACTTTGATTAGGTCTACCCTTTCCAACCTTCCTATTTACTTCATGTCAGTGTTCAAGATTCCTACAAAGGTCTCCAATAGGATAGACAAATTAATGAGGGATTTTTTATGGGAACCAGGAGTGGAGAAGAAAGACCATAGGGTGAGGTGGGAAGTGGTAAATAGGAGCAAGAAGCTAGGGGGGCTTGGGATTGGGAATATCAGGAAAAGGAACATGGCATTGTTGGGGAAATGGTTGTGGAGATTCCCATTGAAAAGGGACAAATTGTAGACAAAGATTGTGGCTAGCATACATGGGCTGGATGAGAATGACTGGGATCTTGGAATTTTGGCAAGGACTACTGCCGCATCTCCATGGAAATCCATTCATGATCTGCTTCCAGTTTTCTCCCCTTGGATCAGGTACGATTTGAACTCCGACAATCGAATAAAATTCTGAGAGCAAATTTGGGTTGGGGACCTACCCCTGAACGACCAATTTCCATCATTGTTTGCTTTGTCAGATTTGAAAAATGAACCCATTTCCTCCTTGGTTCCTTCTGATTCTTCTTCTGGGTTTAGGTGGAATCTGGGCTTGAGAAGGGAAATAAGGGATACAGATTTGGGGTGTATGTCATCTTTGCTAACCATCATTGAAAATGTTTTCTTGAACCCTAATAAGGGAGACACCAGAATCTGGGCCCCTTATTCATTCGGTTCTTTCTCTTGTGCTTCGTTTTTTGAGACACTAGTCCAACCTACTACTCCGCTTGGGCTGTCATTCCCGGTTAAAGAGATTGGAGCAAACCCATTCCTCCTCGGGTTGGTAGTTTTTGTTGGGAAATTTTCCTGGAAAGAGTTAACACAAATGACTTGGTTCAAAGAAAGAGGCCCAATTGCTGTTTACTTCCCAATAGGTGTATACTTTGCAAAGCTGATGGGGAAACGGGTTATCATATTATGGTTATTTGTCCAGTTACTAAGATTGTTTGGGAGTGGGTGTTTTCCCTTTTTGGGTATACTTGGAATCCCCCCGGGAGTGTGCAATGCTTGTTCTCTTCTTCTTTCTTTAGTTGGCCTAAAAAAAGGGGGAAGATTATGTGGAGAAGCATTAGGGCTGTAGTGTGTTGGTCAATATGGGAAGAAAGAAATTCACAAATTTTTTCAGATAAGGAAAGAACCACAGAAAACCTAACAGATTTGATACTTTCAAGGGTTGTTCATTGGCTGAAATCAATGGAGATATTCTCTGAATTCTCTATGGCAGACATGCTAAGAAAGTGGAAAGAGGTTGCTACTACTGCTATGTATAAAAGGAATTGTAGTCCCACTTGGACCCCCCCTCCCGCCGGATTCATAAAACTGAATTTTGATGGATGTACCTTAAGGAATCTAGGGCCTTCTGGGATAGGGGGTGTTTTCAAGAATGAGGAGGGGTATATTACTGTCATGTTCTCTAGGCCAATTGGAGAGGGTGACTCTCTTAGGGCCGAAATTCTAGCAGTTCTTGAAGGAATCCAAAGAGCAAGAGAATTAAGCATTAAATGCTTAGTGATTGAGGTGGACTCGAAGGTGGTGATTAGGTGGCTGAAAGGAGATATCAGTGGCTTGTGGAGCTACAACAATAAGAAAAAATTTAATTGGCTATATAAGGACTTAGAGGTGCAATGCAACTAGGTGAAGAGAAGTGCTAACTCAATGGATGATGGGTTAGCTAAGCAAGGGGTGGCTAAGGATTCTTTGTTTTGGGCACATTTTTAGTTTTTTGTTACCATTTTGATGTTGGGGAGTTCAGATAGTTTACCTCCCCATTTTCTGTAATTAATTTTGACAAGTATTATTAATTAATAAAGAGTTCTGTTATCGATCAAAAAAAAAAAAAAATTTAGGTTGGTATGCATCTACATCAAGAACAATAAGCTCATCTTGAGACTGGGAAAGAAATGCTTAGGAGGATTTCTAAAAACTTCTAAGGAGTGTAAGATCTCTTCACCTTTATAGCATGCTTATATGTATGTAATTTATGTTTCATAGAATGCAATTTACTGTAGAAATGGTGTCCTCTTTTAGATTAATTTATTATTTTGTTTGTTTAGTTTTTTGCTCCGTCCAATGTTGTTCTTATTGTTTAACCCAACTCTACTTGGGTTTTCACACTCATTTACTTAATTTTCTCAGACAAGATTATCAACAATTGTTTGATTGTTGCCCATTCAACAACAGTTTATATAGGTTGTTGTCTAAGATGATTGTTAGATACAACTCTTCAACTATTGCAAATTTACAATTAGCAATGGCTAACATAATTGTTAGAGATGGTACCATTAGGCAACAAGTAATCGGTTGTTGCTAAATAACTATATAGGTAACAGTTTTTATACATTGTTGTTAAATTAATTTGTTTGGCAATGGTTTCAAATGGTTGTTGCAAAACACTATTTTTTGTCAGCAATTGGACCGATTGTCGTAAAAAACATATTTCGCAAGACTTGGTTGTTGTAGAACACTTTTAACAATGGCTTCGTTAGTAACAGTTCGTTCAGTTGTAAGTAAAACATTTGGCAACAATTTTTTCTATATTGGAAACCATGGTTTTTAAAAACGAACCGGTGATCGAACCGGTCAGGGGTCCAGTTACCAGTTCCAACGGTCCAACCAATTTGACCCGAATGGCTAGCCCATCTTGACAAAAAATAAAATAATTTAAAAAATTGTAAAATGGTCAAAATCGTTTGAACGGTTAACCGTCCGGTTCAGCGGTTTGTTGACCAAAATCAACGGTTTTGGGGAAAAAGTGGTTTTGGAGGAAAACGGAACTGGTCAGGTGATCAGTTCCTGATTTTTTCGGTCCGACCGTCTGGTTTGGTCCAGTTTTGAAAACAGTGTTGGAAACAATATTTGGACTGTTGCCAAAGGTCAATTTTCTTGTAGTGTATATATATAATATTTGATATATATAATCGGGGTTAAGGTGGGGTAGGGACCTCAATCCCCATCCCTGACCCTGACCTTGATCAATGATTCCTATTAATCCCCATCCTCGTCCCCGCCCCGCCAAAGCAATCCCATCCTTGACCCCATTTTGAAGTATGATTTGTCAAAGCTAATTAAAAAAATATTTTTCAAATTTGAAGTCTAAAAAGTAGCAGATATTATTTTATGTTTTGATAATTACCTATTTTACCCCAAGAACTAGGCTATTTTGGATGTTCTTACTCTTCTTTTTCTTTGTTTCTTCATCACCAACCTTGGACCTCAATAACTCAAGTTACTAAATAGCTTCGTTCCCCAGTGGATAATGAAGAGCCCTGAGAATCTGTCCATACTCTTTTCAACTTTTCAATACTGCTATCTCTCTCTCTCTCTCTCTTCTTCTTCTTCTTCCCCATCTTCTTTCTCTCCCCTCTTCATCACAGCCATTGACATTAAACCAATGGCGGTAGCTTTCCTCTCCCCATTTTCTCTCTTCTCCTTAATCTTCTCTCTCCCGTCCTATCATTCTTCCTCAGCTTCCCTTTTAGTTGACAAAATACAGAAAAGCCACCATTCCTCTTCAACTTGCAAATGACATAGAACACCACCATCACCGTTGATGCCTACAATGCTTATTGGCACTACAAGAAAAATAGCTTAGTGTCATAATCGATTACGGAGAAAGACAATGTTATGGAGAGGAAAGAACCTGAATTAGAGCTCGAATTGGGTTAAATGAAGGAATAACACAGGTTATTTCAAAAAGTTTTAGGACTTTGACTAAGCTTTGAAATGCATTTGACTGTTTTAAGCAACTGGGCCATATCTTACCATTTTTAGACCTATTTTATCTAATATTCAAACCTAATAAAAGCTATTGACTTGTTCAGCAATTTGTTGACCCAAGTGGTTTAACCGTTAACTTATTTGACCTAGTCAATGGATCAAGAATTGCAAATTATAATTTAAATATGAAATCTATTCTCAAGGCCATAACTTTGCCCTTGGTGGTCAGATTAGGGTTATCTTTAACTTTTTTAATATTGGATAACTTTTCATGATCTATGCAATGCAAAGCATTAAAGGTGCCTTAGACTGCATTTGACATTGCTTATTTTAATGACTTGTATTCTTTTTGCAGTTAAAAACTCAGTGTTGATAGGGGATTTTAACAGCAAAAAAGAGACAAATCTTTAAAATAAGGAATGCCAAATGCAACCTTAGCCCATTATTTTTTGCCAAAAGCACCTTTTAAGCTTTAAATCTCTATAATAAAAAATATACAATACGGTAAACAATTATCTATTTTAAAAAAGTATGTATATAATTATATTGTTATGTATATGTTATATAATTATGGATATCATATAACATGTCACAGGCTGATCCATTTCACCAGGGTGGTTGAATTAGTCACCTATACACAGGAAAAAATGGTTCAGGCTCAAAGTGTGATTCTAAAACACTGCTCAAAATTCTCTTACTATTTTGGAATTTAAAGATTTCATTTAATTACCACAATGGAGAAAGGGGCACATGTATGCAAGTATGCACATATGCAATAGCAAGTCTCTATATTCTCTTTTTCATACTTTTGTATATATAAATTCCAACTTAAAAAAGCTTAATACAAATCTATTTTCCAATGTGGAACAAGGTATAAAAGAAAAAAAACAAGTTTTGGTTAGAGTTTGAAAACCCATTCTGAAAAATCAAGTGTATGTATAAATGTGCCCAATTATATAATTAATTAATCAAAGTTAATCTCTAATAAACGCAAAATCCAATAATGCCTATAGAGACTAACATGTCATGTGGAGAGAACCTTATATAAACAAAAAAAGGTGGTTTAGCCAAATTTTTCTGCACATAAACACACAATTCTTGTTATTCCCATTAATAATGGGATTAAAACTGATACATATTATATCAAATAAAATTATACTGGAATTTCAATAATAAACAAGAACCACCAGCAGAAATACAATCCCATTGATGATTGAAAATTTTTTACTAATCTTGCTGTGGCTGTAGCTGTTGGTGGGGGGCGGCAAAATCAAAGTTCCGGGTGGCGGTGGAGTACTCAAAGTTGCATTTCTAGAATTAGAACAAGACTGATTGGAAGTACATAATAAATACATGTTGCCTGTGGCACTACACCAAAAATAACGAAATAATATAAGCTGATGATGATAATGATATATCATACTACAATATATGTCAATGAATAAAAAAAGAACAATCAAAAACATGGGAAAATATGTAAAGTCTGGATTTACTTACTCAAATTTTAATTCGGTGTTATCGGTGATTGATGAGGGTATTGATCCACTAAAGTTGTTATTTGCTAAATTTCTAAGATAAAAAAACAAATAATAATACAAAGTTTCAAATTAAGAATATTATTTCACAAAGAATGCCCCTAATTAGGAATTGAAATACTTACAGTGTGGTGAGGTTAGGGAAGTTTCCCAGGAAACTAGGAATTTCTCCACTTAAACTGTTGTTATGCAAGTCTCTGCAAATCATAATATAAATGGACAAGGCAAAAAAACTACAAATCAGTAAAACCTCCAGTAGTTTAATTAGTTTTCACAGTTGTTTCATTCCAGATTACTTACATTATTTGGAGAGTATCCAATGCGCTAAAATCTGGGAGAGAACCTTGAAGTCCGTAGTTACTGAGATTCCTATGAATTGTTCCAAAAAAAAAAAAAAGAATGGATAATTAAATTACCTCTTTTCTTGTGGAAATAATTTAATTATCTTTGGTAGTAAAAAAAAGAAACATTAACAGAGAAAACACAAGAAAATAAAGAATGAAACGGGGTAGATAACTGGTGAACCAGAAACTAATGAAAAGAAATATGAGGAAACAAGATTTACAGTGCTATTATTTGAGGTGTATCGCTATCAGTACATTGGACCCAGTCCCAGGGAAATCCGTTTGGAAGACAGGGGTCACCACTCCAATCTTGAAGTTGAACAAAAAACTTTTGTAGCAAAGACAGAGCTTTTACTGGCATAAAAAGAGGAAATAAACCCAAATTAATTTTCAATTCCTGCAAATCTCTTTACATTAGATAGAAAATTTATAAAGTAAATAAATAATAGTGATTTCGATTAAGCTGAAAATTGAAGAATTTCAACTTAAAGAGGGAGGAAGTTGTATTTAGATAAAAGCCTAAATAATATTTTCAGTACAGTGGAAAATTAACTAACTGAAGGTGGCTTAATTGGTAGGATGTGAGAGTCGATGTAGGAGAGACCAGAGATTATATCCGGCTGCCACAATCCTTTGGAAAATTTCAACTTCTGGTTCTGTCTATTCTGTTTCATTTATGAAATTTCGCATAAAACCAAATAAGCTAGAGGTCAGTGCCCAATTTTGGTCCCAGCTATCTCACATCTTGCCAGGGTGGAAACATTCCCAAACTTGCAAAACGATCATTCAACATAAATGACAAAGTGAGATATTCCCCATGAGCATTTATAGGGTCATGTGGATTTGGAAAGAGTTTTTAAGTAGGAGATCCAAACTTGCAAACCCTGACTGGAAATTTCAAAGCCAGCATTCTGGGATGATGTACTCTGATGAAGGTGTTTAAGCTTTGATTTTGAAGAAATTTAAAAAGTTTTGCTTTTGCCAATTAGTAAATAGCTGAGATGATCACCTGGCACATCCCTCCCAACATGGAAACATGGGAAGTGGGATAAAATCATCTAAGTGCAGCCTCTTTGTGGACCTAACTAAGAAGAGAGAGAATAGATGGAGATCAATGTCCACTCACCATGTTTAATGTCTGTTCCATCTGTTAATACACTTCCGATTTCATACATTTCCAGTGCATTGATTATTGGCGGTAGAGTGGAGTTGGCTGTGCGGTTCAGACAGTACCTCGCGTTATATTCGTCCCCAGATGCAGATTTATTTGTAGTGAAGTTGTACTCCAAACCCTTCTTATGAGGTGGGATTATCTGAGGGGAAATATTTTCTCCATTCATGTAGATCGAAAACGAACGCTGCTTTGAGGAATTGAGTTTCAACAATTCGGAGAAATAGAAAATGGTGTACATGTTGGCTGTCAAATTGGAGAAGGTTATACAAAGATAAGAATCGGACGAGTTTTGGTTATAAAGTGCTGTCCGTAATACAGTCTCTGGAGGCTCATCTGGAAGGTTTTTAACCGAAATACTGATGTTGTTCTTGACGGTAACAAAATCTTTGGCACTTGGGAGTGGGTACCATATGCGATCATATTTGTCCTTAGGGTACCTACAAGAAGAAAAAAACAACGGATAGAGATGACTTAGAATTTTCTGCACCTTAAGATTATGTTTGGTTTGATGGAGAGAGACAGAGAGAGAACCTTCAACTTGGTATGGTTTTCTCACCAAATATCATCTTTTCAAAAATAAAAATTAAAATCTTTTAGGCTTGTTTTGTGCAATCCAATTTCATTTGCACTAATACAATTGCAGAGGAATACAATAAAAAAAGCATTATTATATTTAAAAACAAAAATAAATCAGAATTTGCTTTCAACTCATTTGGATTCCCATGCTTTTGCACTAACATAAATACAATTAAAATTGCGTTGCAAATAGGCTATGCCTTAGGGGAAATTATCCAAACCGTTAATAGATGATATAAATATCTTACTTTCTAAGGGGAGCAGCACTTTCAGTATTTACTTGCTTTAGATTTGACCTTTAATTTCTTGTTTGTTTGTTTGTTTGATAAAGTAAAGAAGAAAAATGTAGTCCCAGGGTCCCACCTTATAAAAAATAATGGAAGGTTATTTTGTCTGGAGGAGTTTTTTGTCCGGAATTTGAGGTAGGAAGCAAGATAATGTGGTCCCTATTTTATATGACACAAAATTAAACTTTGAAAATAGGAGGAAGTTGATTTGCCAAAAAATTATAAAAAAAAAAAAAATACTAGGAGGAAGGTGATGCAAATTTTGCATCATTTTTTTAATGTAGTGAATATAAATGAGATAAAAAGTGCAAATTAATTTTGTATTAAATAGGAATTAATCATAATTACCATCAAATAGATTCATAGCTGAGCCGTGTGCAAAATATGCATCTGGTTTGGGCAGAGGTAACAAGAAAAGAAGGTTGGAGGGCTAAATGTAACGATTTATACCAAGTTATACCCTATAAAAAATAATGAGAATTCATCAAAATTTAGGGGGTGGTTTTAAACCACCCCGAGATGAATTAAACTCATCAAACTTCATTTTTATAGAGTTTGACCAGTAAAAACCACCCCGAGATGAATTTCTCAATGGTTAGTATTACTATTACCAAAAAAGAAAGGTTAGTATACAACTTTTGGTACAAATCATAAAGTCCAGGAGATCCAGATTGGATTGATCTTAGACTCCGGTGACGGAGGAAGACGGAAAAGCAGGATGGAAGAAGTAAGAAAGGATCCTCAAATCCAAATCACTTGTTTCAGTTGAATCGTAATGAATATCTGAGGGGTTGAGGGGCAGTCGTTCTGGAATTAATCCACCTGAAACTGTTTCAACCCCCTTCCCGGCCGGCCAGTTCCCAAATTAAACCAATCCAAAGACCAAACACAGACTAAAGGAGTTTGAAAGATATCTCGATCGAGTTGATTATAGTACCTCACTGTTTCATTTTCGCCATAGTTTGATCTATCGTAGATATACAATGGATAAGTCGAATCAACTCCTCTGTACATGCCTAAATGCAAGCTCCTTACTTCAATTGCAGAAATAAATGGTACGTCGTCAGGATATCCCTCATTCTTAGCAACGCATACGCTTATGCTAGCAAACCTTGTGAGATATATCGCTTCGTAGTAAAATGGGTCTGCACTGCTATTATCCACCGTAGCCCAGTGGTTGCCGTCGAACTGAAGATCAAAAGTCGGTGCAGACGATGTTTCATCCCTGTAAATCCCGTAGTAAAAGTATGCACGGAGAAGAACACGCTCTCCCTTCCCAACCTCGCCTATGGAGTAGCAGTTCTTCTTTCTGATGGGGAATACTCTCCGCGTTGTGTATTGACGAGCAACTGATGAGTTATCGGCACTTTGAACGATTTGGTTTACACCGCTTGTGATGTAGGGATGGTCTCTGACCCATGTGATATTGTTCGCGTCAGTGAAAGAATCCGAGGAGCCACAGTCTATGCTCAGGAATACTGCATTCGATCGCATATTGGATTATTATCAACAATCAGTCAATCACAAAAGTAGAAATACTGAATGCTAGGAAAAGGAGGTCAGAACCTACGAACTTACCGGCGGCCAGCGTTGGCATGGGCAGGACTGCCAAGTGGCCCAAAATTATTTGCAGGAGAAGAATAAGATTGTTGATCATGGTGATTGGTGGTCTCTCCTCTAGCGATCGGAGATAGCTAGAGAGAGATCGATCCCAAATTGAGCTTTTAATTATTTGTTGTCTCCGATTTCACACTTGCAATTTTCATTTGCGTTTTGTCCCATTGACTTCAACTTACAGTGGTGTGAACATCGACGCCAATTACATCAATACATCGTGCCATGGACGTAAAGGATGGTGATATACCATATATATTTTTTAATTTAATTTTCTTTTTCAATGAAGGACGGCTATCACTCAAGAGGGATTTTAGCAACAAGGATAAGAGAAATAAAGGCGTCTTTAGCATCGTTGTGGGGTGTTTCACGTACGCCATGTAGACAAGTGAGGGAGGAGAGGGAGGAGTTCTCTTTTCTTTGCGTATGTTATGTTTAGGCTGCATTTGGAAACGATGCAAATAATTAGTGTAAATGCAAATATGTAGACCGTAAAATGGTCCATATAAATTGTAAAGTTGGATTAGTTTTGTATTGACAAACTTATTTTCTTACCAAACAGACTTTTAAGACTTTTTCCTGTAATGGATTCTTCATATGTCTTGTATAATGTGTTCCTTTTAGTGGTTGAAGTCAAAGGTTTTAAAAACTGACCCAGAAACAGAACCCTTCTGGCCACTAGTTTTTGAGTCCATGGTTCCAATTAAAGTAAGATGCATATAAATATAAGAGAAAATAAAGATAGAATGAGAGGTATTTGAGGCTGAAAGAGTTTAGAAGAAGAAGAAGAAGAAAGAAGAGGAGGGGAGGGCTTGAAGGCTGCAGCGGTGACAATGGCGGCAACAGCGGTTGTGATGGTTTCGTTTATCATTTTGACGTAGATGAAAATGTTGTTTTATTCAATAGTTTCCCGGGCCCAGCCCAGTCCACATATTGGGCCTAAAATATATGCCTGGGAATGGGAATAATAGTAGGGGTCAGGCCAGGCCGGGCCTTATTCAGACTCTACAACCTTGACGGTAAAGCAATAAACTGATTGTACACAAATTAGGCCAGGCCGTGCCGAATCCATATCAGATCGTATCATATAAAATTATACACGAATTTCATCAATAAATAAGAACCAAAATTAGAATTACAACCCCATTGATGATAGGAAAATTTTTACTAATCCTGCTTTGGCGGTGGCTGTTGGTCGGAGGTGGCAAAATCGAAGTTCCATTGCTGGAATTAGAAGAACAAGACGGATTGGAAGCACATGATAAATACATGTTACCTGTTACACTAGAAGACAAAACAAACATGAAATAATATAAGTTGATGATGATAATTATATATTAGTAGTAACAAATTATATATGTCAAACATTACTGTTGCTGGTGAAGACAAAACAGACAACAAAAACAAGGGCAATATATGAGCTCTGGGTTTACTTACTCCCATATTAAGTTGGTCTTATTGGTGATTGAGGAGGGTATTAATCCACTGAAGTTGTTATTTGTCAAATTTCTACAATAAAGAAGATATAGAAAAAACAAATAGATGGATAAAAATAAGAATTTCCATGTTAAGAAAATTACTCCATAAAATTGGAAGAATGCTCCTATTTAGAAAATACTTACAGTGTGTTCAGGGAAGGAAAGTTTCCTAGGAAACTAGGAATTTCTCCACTTAAACTGTTATTACTCAAATCTCTGCAAACCACAAGAAGAAAGGATAAAGCAAACTACAAATTAGTAAAATTTCTAGTTGTTTAGTTTTCACAATTGTTTCTTTCTAATTTACTTACATTAGTTGGAGAGTATCCAAGGCAGTAAAATTTGGGAGAGAACCTTGAAGTCCGTAGCTACTGAGTTTCCTATGAATTGTTCAAAAGAAAATGAATAAATATAATTTAATGACCTTTGATTTGAACAAATTTAAAAGAAAATCGAGGATCAAGGAGGAGGATAGATGGCTGATAAACAACAAGAAAGCAATCAAAGGAAGTATGGGGAAATTAAAAAGATTTACATACAATGCGGTTATTTGAGGTGTCTCGCTAAAATTACATTCAACCCAGTCCCAGCTGAATCCGTTGGGAAGACAGGGGTCACCGCTCCAATTTTGAAGTTGAACAAAAGCTTTTTGTAGCGAAGATAGCACTTTTACTGGCATAGAATGACAGAAAAACTCAAAAAAGAAAAGAATAGTAAACCTCTTTTGTAGCGAACAAAAGAACAGCTTTCTGCTTAGGCTGTGTTTAGTTTGAACTTTGAAGGAAAAAGTAGGGAAACCTACATATACAAGAACCTTGTATATATAAGTTTCCTTATTACCTTTTCCTTCAAACCAAACATAGCCTTAAGGGTTGTACTATGATATCCAGAAAATACAACTGACCAATTGAAGTCACAGTTGGCCTTCCTAGGTTTTGCTTCTTTGCTTTCTATGTATAACCACAATCAATTTGGAAGTGTAGCTAATAAGAAAGAAGAGAGGAAGAGAAAGGCAATGTGCACTTACCATGTTTACTGTCTGTTCCATCAGTTAATGGGGCTCCGATTTGAAAGGTTTCCAGCGCATTGATTATTGGCGGGAGAGTGGAGTCGGATGTGCGGTTCAGACAGTACCTTGCGTTGTATCCGTTCCCAGATGCAGATGCAGATATATTTGTAGTGAAGTTGAATTCCAAAGCATGTCTGTAAAGAGGGACTATGGGATTGGAAATATTTATTCCGTTGATGTAAATCGAAAAGGAACGCTTCTCTGATTTTGAGGATTTGTCAAGTTGGAGAAGGTTATTCAAAGATAAGAATCGGACGAATTTTGGTTGTAAAGTGCTGTCTGTAATACAGTTTGTGGAGGCTTATCTGCAAGGGTTTTAACTGAAATTTTGGTTTTCTTCTTGAGAGTCAAAAAATCGTTGGCACTCTGACGTGGATACCAAAAATGATCATATTTATCGATAGGAGACCTACAAAAAGAAAAGCAACAGAAAGAGAGAGAGATGGGTGGATTATAAGAATTTTTGCATCTTAATTAGTTTAAGCAATTTTTAGTCATTAAAAGTTGTCTGTCTATCCAAGAACCATGTCAAAGGAGAACATATTCGCTCTCACCATCTCTCTTGATTTTTATATCCAAATCCTAAACTCTGAACTTACAAATCTTAATCCGGATCGGGGTGCAATTTGGGCAGGTTTGGTCAGGTTTTAGGTCAACTGAGATCCAATGTTAAGATTTGGATTCACCCCCTGAGTTCGAATCAAGCCCGCGGACAAAACTAATAAAATTTGACACACTCAGATTGGATAAAGACTTGGTCAGGTTTGGATTGGTCAGTTGAGGTGGGTTTAGTAGGCCCAATATTTAGCACCAATAATATAAAGCACTGAATAGAGAAAAATATATTTTGGACATATGCATACCATGTTGGGGCTAAGCTTGAACCACCTAAAAACTAGGCTTGGCCCACTTCTATAAATAGAAAAACCTTGTAAAATTTTGGGCTGGATCGATCCGGGCTTAGGTTGGACCCGCTCAACCTATCTTAGAATGTGACTCTATTCCAATGGATTTTGGATTTTGATTTAAAAGATGTATGTTTGACTTGGCATACCTCACAATTTTATCTCCGCCGTAGTTGATTCTGTGATTGAGGAACAGTGGAGAATTTGGAGCAGCTCCACCGTACATGCCTAAATCCAAGCTTATTACTTGAATTGCAGAAATAAATGGTTGGTGACCAGGATCTGTCTGAGCAACGCATACACTTATGTTATCGAACTTGGTGTGATATATCACTTCGTAGTAAACTGGGTCTGTTGTGCAACTGGCCACGGTAGCCCAGCGGTTTCCGTCGAACTGAAGATCAAAAGTTGGTGTAGTAGATGATGTTTCATTATTGCTGCAATAATTCCCATAGTAAAATTATGCACGGAGAAGAACTTGATTTCCCTTCCCAACGTCGCCTATGGAGTAGCAGTTCTTTTTTCCGGTGGAGAATACTCTCCGAGTTGTGTATTGATGAGCAACTGGTGAATTATCTGCACTTTGAACAGTTTGGCTTGTTAGACAGTTTTGTGTGTCCTTAGCTTCAATCAGAATGATGTACTTTATGAGTTTATTGTAAATGAATAAAGATACATATTTGATTCATGTTC